AGACTGACCTGCCCTTGGCCATTTTCCTGCACAGCTATCTATTTTCTACTTATGTGGAGGTACAGCCTCAAGGATAAGAGAAACTGGAGACAGCACTGGGGACTTGCACCCTCATGCAGGCTAAGCAGCGAGTCACCCAGCGCGGCCTGGGGGGCTTCCCGTGTCCTAAAAACAAGGTGTTCTCAGAACAAAGCCATGGGGGGGGGCTGAAATGTCAGTCAAGTCATGTTTTAGGCATAAGGGCTGCTGGGGGCAGGGGGGAGAGAACTGAAAGGAAAAGAACTGGTCTGTCAGGCTTGCCCTCAGCCCTGCAGTCTACTCCCCACAGGCCCGAACCCACAAGGCCTCCTGGAGGCCGCAGGCTAAGGGCAGGAAGTTTCACATTCAGATGCAAACCCAGAAGGGACACTGAAAAACAGGAGGGGAAGGGCCGTCAGGCGGGTAGGCACAGAGGGCTCCCGGCCATGCTGGATCATTCTCCCTCCAGTCCTCTGAGCAGCCGCCGCTGCTGAGAGCCCCTGGGCCCTCCAGGACCCTCCCCCTTCGGCCACTTCCGGAGGGTCACCCCCCCACAGGGAAGAAGCTGCTCCCGCACTTGCCTCAATCCCACCAGCCCCCGGGCTCCCTGCTCCGCAACCCGCAAGCCCAGAGCCACGCCCAGCCAGGAGCAAAACGCAGGGGCGATCAGTCCGGCAGGCAGCCGGCTCCGCACAGTGAAGGTGGAGGCGCCGCTGGCATGGGGCGCGGGCATGGGGTGCAGAGGGAAGCCCGCTGGGAGAAGGCCGCCAAGGCTGCGAGTGCCCTGGGCGGGCTGGTGTGGGGTGGGGGCCGGGCCCTCCAGGCACAGGGAGCAGTGGCTGCTCTGAGCCGAGTCCCTCCATCTTGCAACAACAATGAAAAACCTTCCCCAGGCTGAAAATCTAGGAATAAGCAGAATCAAACTCTAACCCACAGAACTGCACTCTCTTGAGGATGGACAGTGAACTCACTGAGCTGCACCCCTATTTCCTCCTCGTGATTAACCATTAACTGGCTCCACCTGCATTCCTGGGAACCTGGAAAACTGACTGTTCCATCCCGACTAAAATTCTGTGTCCCCCTGAGAACCCTCCCCGCTGAGAAAGCCAAGCACCTGGATTCTGGCGCCCACACTGCCCGGCTCCCTCAGCCAGCAAATGCAAAGCCCCAGCTTCCGCTCACATTCCTCCCCGCCCCCCTGTAAAACCACAGCACTCCCACCATCCCGGGAGCTGGTTGTTTTAGGGGTGCCTATGCTGCCGACTCCCTCAGGGGCCACCTTGAATAAACTCCTTCATGCAGAGACAATTCTCAGCATTCAGTGTGGCTTTCTGGGCACGAGTGAAAAACCTGGCTTGGTCGTTTACAGCAGTCCCAGGGACAGGGATGATGGGCTCCAGGGGCAGTGGGGAACCTGGGTACAGGTGTGACCCCCGTACTCCTAGAACTGTGGCCACCAAACAGTGGCCCAAGGGTGACCTCGTGCACAGCAGGAGGCCCTAAGGGACAGCCTTTCTAGCACCATCTGCCTGCCGAATGCACCGAATGTGCCCGTGACTCCTTTGCCACCCTGCTAACCGTCATCCATCGAGACTAACACGGCCCTGGAGCCAGGTGCAGAGGTGACCAGGGCAGCCTCCGTGGCCGCCATGTCCAAACGCTGCCACTACACGTGACAATCTCACCCGCCAGAGAGAAAACACCCAGACCAGCCACAGTCTCTTTACACTGGACCCTGGAAGGCCCATGGCTTCTGCCATAGAGTGTTCGTCCGAACAAGCCAGTCACTCAGCCCACCCACACTCCATGGCGAGGGTTCAGCAGGGTGGACACCAGTGGGGGGGACATGTTCTCAGAGACTGCCTACCACCCCAAGCGCCACCCATCTCGTACCACTGAGACCAGACCATGGCAGCTAAGACAAGCGATAGCAGATTCCTGGTATCATCTAACAGTCAAACAATGTCCCCGGGTGCCCCCCAAATGCCCATTATAGACACTGGCTCTAGCCAGGATCCAATCAAGGCCCACAAGTTATATTCAGTTCTGGCCATCCATGGACTAAATGTCTGTGCCCCCTGCAAGTCCATATGCTGAAATCCTAACCCAACGGGAGGGCATTTGGCGGTGGGGTGTGATGAGCTCATGCAGGGGCCTAAATATAGAGCTGCTCATCTCCTCACGCTGTCTGCAACCCACAGGAGAGCGCATGCAGCCTCCAGGAGCAGACCGTCTGGTCTGCGGCCTACACCTCACAGGCGCCCCACGGCAGCCATCCAGCCTCTCCAGCCTCATCTGATAGTCTGCCCTCGGCCTTTCTCCTTTCACAAAACTGATGGCCAGTCACAGGGCCAGATGGACTCGTGGCTTGGCTCCCCCGCCCCGCCCCCGCCCCAGAGTGCCCAGGCATTATCTGGCGCTCAGTGAGGGGAGTGGTCTGGGGCCCCGGAGGAGCTGCCTGGAGGCCGGGAATGGGATGTAACAGAACTGGGGAGGGAGCACAGCAAAGGCCACCCTCCCGGGAGGTCAATGCTGACAGGGTGGGAAGTATGTGTGTGTGAAAGAGTGAGAGAGAGCCCGAGCGCGAGCACTGATGGCACTGGCATGGAGGAGAGTGGCACATTCCGTGGAACCAGGAGATTGTTTCTGGCCCCCCTAAAGACAGTGGCACCCTGCAAGGGCAGCCTCGCTGCATCCTGTCTCTCAGGAGCTGCATCCTGTCTCTCAGGAGCCTGGCAGCCCCTCTTACATCCATCTCAAAAGCCAAGGAAGCAGGACCAGCAAGGCAGGCCCCTTCTGGAGATCCCGCCCCACTCGCAGAGGGGAGAGGGGAAGGATGCGGCCGAGGCCTCCGAAGCGCCAGAGCCCTGAGCCACGAGTCCAAGTGCGTGCCCAGCACTGCCTGGCGGGGGCCACACCCACGCTCTGCAGCCACTGGTGTGGCCTCCTCCTGCAGAGCCCCCCACTCCCTCCACCACCCCACCAGCACCTACCGCCACGGCCTCCTCCCGACACCTCCCACAGGCGGGCGCTGCCATTCCCCCTTGCGCAGATACAGAGGAGAGCCTGGGCTGAGCGGCTGGGCCGGGCTCTGGGTGACGCCGCACAGCCTCCTCCTCCAGTCTGCTGCCCGGGTGCTGGCTCCCTCTCCCCAACACTCACCTTGCCGCCGCCCTGGCTTCCCAGCTACAACTGGCCCGAGCAGGGCTCCCCCCCTCCGCCCCCATCGGAGTTATTTCTGGAGGCCACAGCAGAAAAAAGGCTTCCCATTGTATTTGCATCGCTAAAGGGAGTGGGGATTGCTCTCAGCCCAAGGGCTCGGCATCAAACAAAGCAAAGGAAAAGGGAATCTTTCGGGGCTATTAGAGCCAGAAGAATCCTTAGAACTGTTCTCCACGAGCACGCTGAGAAATCACCTCCGCCACTACGCCACCGCTGCTCACAGGGTGCATGGAGGCTCCCCCAGCCCCCACCCAGAGACCAGTGGTGGATCTGCAGACGCTTCTGGTTCACAGCTGGGGGAGGGAGGGAGGGAAGGTTTGCTCCCCTGCATCTGGTGGGCGGAGGCCAGGGATGCTGCCCAACGTCCCACAGTGCCCCGGGGCGGGGCTTGCCCCCAGCACCGCCGTCCAGGGCCGAGCCAGCCCAGCCCGCTCTAAAGCCCTTTGTTACTTGGAATATGAGAAAACGGAGGCGCAGAGACACAAAGTGACTTGTCCAAGGTCACAGGGTCCTCGGGCCAGAGTAGAATCAGCACTCTGGGGCCTCTCCCCTTCTCTGCTCCCTCCAGGGCTGGCCTGGGCTGGGCTGGGGGAGGAGGAGGCAGCGCCAGGATCTTAATTCTCGCAGCCCGTGTGAGCTGAATGCGGAAAGACGCGATAAATGACTGAGTTATGGCGGCCCCACGGGGTGCCCAGCTCTCTGACGCTTCAGTTGTCCACTCACACACAGCAGGCCTCGCGGGCCCCTCGGCGGTGGCTGGTGAGTCGCGTCGCTCGCGCGGCTTTTCCAGTCCAGTTTATGGACACGGCGCTTTCCCCGGAGAGAAGGCCACACTCTCCTCCTGGGGTGCCTGCGCCAGCCCCGGGCTCCCCTGGCTTTTCACCCAGAAAAAGAAATGTAAACCCAGGTCAGCCCCTCAAAAGAACCCGATAAAATCCCACCCCCAGTCTGGCTAGAACTGAAAAGCCCCCAGACCCGACCCCCACATCACTGTTGCGTCACCAAGCCCCTTTCAGCAAGCTAATTATTCAGCAAGGGAACTAACAGGAGTCCTGGGGATTCTTGGGGGTTGGCATTTGTCTCCACCCCCCACCCTCTTCAAAGACCATTTTTGTTCTTCTAAAGATGCAGCCGCCTCGCAGCTCTTCTGCTTGCAGGCTATCTTTGCAGATTGTGCTTTATTTTGTAAGAGGCTGCCTTTTATTTTAGAGGAGACGGCTATCGTTCAATCTACTTCAACCACCTGCAGGAAAAAGAACACCTTTCTGATGAACCCCCTTTAAAGGCTGGACGCTTGCAAAATAAAGCCAAACGAGTTAGACTGCGCACTGGCGTCCACGCTGCTAACCAAACATCCCCCCGCACCCCAGGGCTGTGGAAGAAGCCAGGTTAGGTCCTGAGGACAGCCCCGTAAGGAGAACGAGTAAACGTGTCATTCTTTAAGCCCAGTGACAGCTGCCAACAGTTGATGCTTCTCCTGGAGGCCCCTGCTCCTTGTAACTATGCATGCACGGTGATCGGTGCAGATTTTGCTGCCCTCCTGAGCGGGAGGCCCGGTCTTCCAGGCTGTCCCTGTGCACCCTTCCCGGGGGGGCCACGCCAGACCCAAGTCACGCGTGAGCCTACAACGCCCCCCAGCCCCCGTGCACGCAGCAGCCGAGTAGCCAGAGGCCCCCACTTTCGCTTTGGGGGTGCCGCGGGGCTGCAGGCCAGCAGGCGGGCAGGGGCTCCGCCTGCAGAGTGGGCGCCGCGCCCCTTACCTGCAGTGCCGCATGGCGCAGGCCGGCCGCCCACCTGCTCAGCATCCTAGCGCATCCTTCTTCACGCGACGGCCGCCAGCGCGCTGGCGTCACCGGGAGGCGGGCCCCACGCCGCCACGTGACGCCCCGGGGCGAAGCTGGGGGCCGGGGGCGGGGAGGAGAGGGGAAGACCCTGGAAGTCCCGGGCGGTGAGGAGCCTGCGGCCGCAAGGAAGCCCCTTGCCAGCCTCCCTTCCGGACGGGGCGCCTGCTGCGCGCAGCTCGCCTGGCCTTCCGCGAATTCTGGGAAACAGAAAACACAGAGAAGGAGAAATCTAAATTATTACAGGCTCCAAGGAAGTGCTAGGATTTCAAAAGAGCTAGCGAGACGGGGATTAGTAAAGAAAGGAAACACAATTTCGCCGTTTAGTTTAAACACAGTCTGAATCAATGCAATCCAAATAAAATTTTTTGTGCACATCGAAGAGTGCAGGACGCTGCTTCCCTCCTGTATCGAGTTTGATATCACATACTTTAATGTGCAGCGTACTCATGTGGGATATTCTACTACTGGCTCTGACGAACAATGCTTTCATTTACTCTCATGAACTGCATGCAAGGTTAGCTTGTATTTGCCAAAGGGAAAAACAGTGACACCACGTATTCATACTACCTGCTTGGACAGCTGATTATTGAAAATAAAGCCGCCTGCGTGAGCAAGGCTGTCTGTCCTTGCATCTGTGCTTGTTTTCTTAGATCTGGCAAGGAACCTGATCTCCCTGTCATGAAAGTTAATTCACAGTAACTCATTAGTTCACGTTTTCTAATTTTTATTACATTCTGCAGAAGTGAGTCATCTTACTATTACAGAAAATATGTACAATGTCAACAATGCTCATTCACAACTGAAACAGTCTTGCCTAGAAAGCCTTAGAAAATTCCAGCTGTGATCATGTCGGAAATTTGAAATAGTCTTACTTAAAACCTCAGCAGGATCGCCTTTCCTTTTGCCAAACCACATAAACGATTTTGAAATGTGAAAGGCCAAAAGCAGGAACTTTTGCTTTGTCTTCCAGTTTCAGAGATTCGTTTACTTTCATTTGAGTTTAAATCACGATTTTACCATCCCCTTAGCTCACGCCCTGAGAGATGTGAAATAGATTGTTTTACAAGCAGGCAAGTGTCACCTTTACTGGCTATTTATTCCGGCAGCTCTCATGGCCTACACTTGCTCTGGGCCTTGTATCACCATTTTCCCCAGATCAACCAAATTTGTGTTCAGAAGGTCAATCTCTAATTGTGGGATAAATGTGCCCCGGCTTTCGTGGCGATCTGCTATTTTCTACACCAGATAGTAAAATCGATAAAGTGGCCCTGTGATTTTCTAGGTCACTCCTCTCGTAGGCGCTTCAGAATGATTAAGCAACTTACCTTTTGCTTTCAGATTCCTGCGATATTCAGTTAAAATGCTACCGGAATCCCCTGCTCGGGTGGGTGGGTGGGTGGGTGGTGGGTCCGTAGGAGACGGAAACTGACACCCTCGTTTGTTTTCCAGCCCCCGGCAAATGTCGATTTCAGCCCCAGGAGGCCTGCAGCCCGCCCAGGCCACGCCCAGGCCCCGCCCCTCCTGGGTCACCTCTAGGCTTCGGAGGCCAGCGGCGCACCCCTTAATCTCCCCTGCTTTCGCGTGGGAAGAGAATCCAGCGTCCTCGACAAGGGCCGCGCTGTGTTCACGGCTGTGCCCAGAGCCCCGGGAAGCGTGCCCCCCTGCGGTCTGCAGCGACTGGCTCTGGGGCCGGCTTGGCTGACTGAACTCAACGAAGTACTCACTTTCCTCAACGTGGGGCGATTTTTCTGCCAGTAGATTTTTTTCACCATCTCTTTGCCAAGTGATTGCTCAAGGGTACAAAGTATTTTAGTAAACAGGTCATTCAGAAAAGACCTCAAACTCGTCCGTTGAGTTTTCAACAAAATGGGATCACTTCCAACTTCCTCCATCCCCACCTACGAAATCGTCATTTCGGCACACTCTGTCAAACACCACCCAGAATAACGTAAATTAGACCGTCTTGCTGGTGGGTGCGTTAGCATTTCCTACCCAAAGCCTTCCAAATATGCAGACTTTGAAAAATCCTGTGGGCCCCACAGCTGTCGATTAGCATTTGCTTCAGCAACTTCTTGTCCAGGAATTTGTCCTGGGAGAGGGGGCTGGAGGGGGGGCAAAGAGTCACCTAAGAAAAATTCCTGCAGTATTATTTATGATCTCAGAATTAAATCTTCAAAAGCAAAGGCTGTGTTACAACAGCGGGACAAGGAAAGACTTCTAACTAATATGGTTACATGGAAAATGTTGACCTCAAAGGCAATCAGTCATTCCAACGACAAGATGGGACTATTCAGGAATGACAGAAGAGAGGACCATGTGCTGCTGGCAAGAGCCCCATGCACTTCCACAAACCCAAGGCTAACAATCCCCTAGATAATCTCTGGAGGACTTCCTGGAGGGGAAAACAGCCTCACCTCCCAGGAGATGCAAGGCAGGTTAGGGCCTGTGGTTTGCTGATTTGTGCAAACGTGGACCAGCCTCTGGACCTCAGTTGAATCGGGTTTCTGTGTATTCGTGCTCACAAAAGACGGTCTCCGTGTAGTAAGTGAGAAAAGCCAGTTCCCAAACCTGTGCTGAGCCTTTCACCTCAGGTCTGTAGGCAGGATGTATTTATAGCTACATATCTAGGACAAGTCACTGAAGTCTCACTGGGGGTACCTCGCCCGTTACTAGCATTAGGGACCATTTGAAATTTTCTTCTCTTTAGCTTTAGCAACATTTTCTAATTTTTCCACCACTAACTTGTATTGCTTGTGTAACTAGATAACAGACTTGATCATGGAATAAATACTTTGGCTAGTCTTTTTTTTTTTAAGATTTATTTATTTATTTATACAAGCACTGGGTACAGTCAGAAGCGTGGGAGGGTGAGAGGATTCACCAGAGCCAGAGTGGGGAACAGAACAGGCAGACTGACGAAGTACACTGCTGAGGGGAGCAGCGGGCATGGCAGGAGAGGTCTGCGCACCATGTGGGACCCTCGCCAGTGGCCGGGGATCGAACAGGCTCTGCAGAGGCTGCGGGCAGCTTCGCAAAGCAGCGCTCAACCGCTGCACCACCAGGGAGGCCCTATTTTTTTTATTTATTTAAGATTTATTTTTGCACACAAGAGCTGGGGTACAGGCCAGAGGTGCAGGGGTGGTGGTGAGAGGATTCACCGGAACAGAGTGGGGAGCAGAACAGGCGGATGGACTGAAATTCACTGCTGAGGGGAGCAGCGGGGAGACAGGAGGGGTCTGCTGCGCTATGTGGGTCACCTTCCTGGCCAGGGATCCAACTCGTGCTGCAATGGCTGCAGATTGCTTCACAGTGCTGAGAGAAACCCTTGCGCCACCAGGGAGGCCCCACTTTGGCTAGTCTTAATGCAGATTTCATCACTTGCACATTCTTTAAATCTTAACCTGAAAGCCCCAGAGGACGCTTCCTCGAGATCCTGGGTTATTCTGCCATAAAAATCTTTGGGAAAGAAGACACCGCTCAGGAACTGGTTTAATGTTTAACCATCCGTAGGTCCAGTTTCATTTTCTCTGCCACTGAAATCTGCCTCTTCATTCTGCCCCATGAAAGGAGGTGAGACAGCGAGTCCTACCCCCCCTTCCTGGGAAAGATTCTGGGCACGCGCCGCAGTCTTGGCGCTTTCTTTTCCCATCCTGCCTTCCTCCTCCGGTCTTCACAGGAGTCCTGCGTTTTCAATCCTTTCCATCTTCCCCTCTTCTAGACTTTGCGATTGTCACCGCTGGGGGAGCCGGGAGCTGCAGGCCTGGAGGGGGCGGGGGCCGGGGACGCTGCTCAACACCCCCCCGGGGCCCAGAGCGGCCCCGCGGCACAGGCTGGTGCAGCCTGGACAACCAGCGGGGCCGCGGGGGGGGGGGACCTGACTCAGAATCACCCATGAAGTATCATTTCCATCCAAAGTGTCCCGTTGCCCCGTCATTTTTAAAGAGCTCGCCGGGGTCTAACGCGCCGAGGCGCTGCTGTACAGTGACCCCCGGCGAGCCCCCGGCGGAGGAGGAGCCCCGCCCGCGGGCTGCGCTCTTTCGGAATCGCGCGCGGGCGCGGGGAGGGGGTGGTCGCGGCGGGGGAGGAGGCCGGGGGGCGGGGAGGAGGAGCTGGGGCCCGGCGGTGACCCGGGCGGGCTGGCCCAGCGAGGAGGCGGCGGGTCCGCAGCCGCGCGCCGGGTTTCCCCACGGGGCGGGCGGAGCCGCCGGAGCCGCCAGCCCGGGCCGCTGCGCCACCTGCTGGGGCGCCGGGGACGGGCTGGGGCCGCTCCCAAGCGGGGCCCGACCCTCGGGAGGACTGCGCGCTCCCCGACCCAGGCGAGGGCGGGCAGGCGTCCAGCGACCATTGACCGGCCGGACAGCAAGAAAGGACAACCCGGGAGCCCTCTCTGCAGGAGCGACTCCCGGGGGCAGGGCCCGGGGGCGCTGAAACAAAGGAATTAGCTTTCCTGGCTGAGAAAGCAAGGCCACTGCCCTTGGCTGGGGTCCATGGTTGCTGCTGCCTGGGGGCGCGGTCGGCGGCAGCTCCGGCCTGCAGGGCTCGTGGCCACCTTCAAGGTGAGCATCTCCGGGACGCCGTGTGCCCGCAGCTCCGGTCTCAGCTGGCCTGGTCTCAAGGCCCGTGACTCCCTTCCTTTGGGCTGCAACTCCCTCTTCTCCCAGAGCAGGCGACTCGATAAGCTGTGGAAAGACAGCTCAGAAATAGTAAAAAACAAAACAAAACAAAACCAAAACCGAGAAAAAAACAAGAAACAAAGAGCCAAGGAAATGGATGGCAGCAAGTGTGGGGACCTGGAGTCACCAGGCTTTTGGCGTCTGTTCAGCAGCCTGTGGGAATCCGCAGAATTATTGTCCTTGATTCCTCACTGTCCTTGTCCCGGGACCCTTTCTGACTCGTTTGCATAGAAGTGGGAACATATTACATAATAACGACACAGATTTAGCGCCCCGGCATTAAGGCAGCAAATAGGAGCGTGCAGAGCACAGTCCTCTCCTGCACACGGAGGGCTTCTGGCAGCAGCCTGTCAACAGGGGTGGGGCAGGCCCGTTGTGCCCCCACATTGCAGTCTCCCTGACTGCAGTGTCCTGTGGTGGGGCGCCTGTGGTCAGGCTGTGTCCTCTGCCCAAGCCCTGGCTTCTCACCCTTGGATCGTCTAGGTAGCACTTGCCAAGTTACACCCAAATCATTTGCTCACATTCACCACCTTCCCCCACGTTCCCCCACCCCAAGGCCTACAGGCAGAGAGGGGAGCTGGCTTTTCCTCTTTGAAAACTTAGCTTTGTCACTGCGATACAATGTTACACCAGAAACAAAAGGTCTCCAAATGTTCTCAAGCAAACGTTAGAGCCTTTTATCATACACCATCTTCAAGTGTTAGTGACCATGTAACATTATCACGGGCTGCTAGTTTTTGAAAGATTTATTTTATGAATTTATGCATACAAGAACTGGGGTGCAGGCCAGAGGTGGGGGAAGAGGAGGAGGGCGGTGAGAGGATTCACTGGAGACAGAGTGGGGAGCAGAAGAGGTGGATCTGCTAAAATACACTCCTGAGGGGAGCAGCGGACTAGACAGGAGAGGTCTGCTGCGGCAGGTGGGTCGAACTCAGGCCGCTGCGGCTGGCGATCGCTTGACAGCGCTGAGATGGAACCCCTGCGCCACCAGGGCGGCCCCGCCACTGCCTGCTATTTTGCCAGCCGCCATTTTCCCTTCCGGGCACCAAGCAGTAGTGGGAGTAACAGCGTCCACCGCCAGAGGGCGGAGCGAGGCCTGCGGGAGAGAGCTGGGAAAAGCAGGGCCTGGGAAAGGTGCCGCCCTCTATCCGCCTATCAAAATAACCTCCTGTATTTTAAGGCAAGTGGAAAAAGTTAATAAAGACTCTACAATCTCACACACACACACACACACACACACACACACAAATATATATAAAGCCTTGGGGACCAAATCTACTTGCACGACTTTGTCAACCCATGTAATAAACCTACCTATGGGGACTGCGGACTGAAATCCCTGGCTTGTTGCAAATGACTTACCCAACATGCAGGTCAGCAAAACAACAACAGCCTGCTTCATTTCAAAATGTGGCATGGGGCCTCCCTGGTGGCCTAGCGGTGAAGGCTCAGCACTATCACCGCAACAGCCTGAGTTTGATCCCCAGCCAGGGAGGTGACCCACAGGGCGCAGCAGACCTCTCCTGTCTCCCCGCTGCTCCCCTCAGCAGTGGATTTCAGTCAGTGTGCCTGTTCTGCTCCCCGCTCTGTCTCTGGTGAATCCTCTCACCACCCTCCCCCCATGCACACACACACACCTCCGGCCTACACCCCAGGTCTTGTATAAATAAAATAAATCTAAAAAAAAAAAGAACCCCCTGCATAAACAGGCAGGCA